ATATACTTTATTACGCTATCTTTGAGCAACGCCATTTTTCTAACGACTTCAAACAGGAGAAGGAAGTCGACTGTGTTTTTTTATGTGTGTTACCTCATAACCTTCTGGGTGAACTGATTTCGATGATTTTTTTTTTATTTGAAAGCTGGTGCTTCACATTCACATTTTTATTTTTAGTTATTGTTGAAAACAACTTCGCCATAATGTTCACTATATATCGAAATTATAACATAAAACGTAATTTTCGCGCATTGGACTTTGTGGGATATGAAAATTTGTGTTTATTACATGATTTATTGTGATAACTCACACTTTTTATTTACTTTTCAGTTAATTCTGGCTATTAAATATAGTGATACGTGAACGACACAGTATTTGAAATGGCAATTTTATAAAATATATGAAATTGTTACGAAGCAAAATATAAGGAATTAAATTTTAAAACAGTGTAATTACTTACCATTTGTATAAAAACTAACAAAAAACTTTCTATTGTACCCACTTAATTTTTTGTAAAATTTCTAGTTGCCTCTTACATTCACGCGGCGAAGGATATAAGACTAAAGTATGTGACGTAAACGCGACGCGAGGCGGAAACTCGTCATTTGAAGTAAATTCTGTTAATTTAAAGAAGCGTAATTTAATAACGAAACTAATTCTAATAAAATTTTAGTTTTATAGTTCATCTAAATAACATTTAAAAAATAATTGTTATGAGCACAATAACTATGGTTCTGACTAAACGTAGTGTAGTGATCATATACTCTTTGGTTCTGAGGGGTCCTTTCTAAATATTACCATACTCTTTGGAGCGTTCTACAAAGTTGACCTTGGATTGCCTCATGTGTACTTCAAAGGCTTGACAGATTAATAACTGGCTTTACGACTCTGGGTTCTAGCCCTTCTGAGCTTGAAGTTACAATATATTATAATATAATTATCCTTCATAGTATACTGCTTCACAATATGTTGATGCGTCATATTGTGCAGCCCTTGGGAGATTTTGACGGCAACTTGAGCCAGCAGACAGCTGAAAGTTGGCGATGGTATCTCAAGGCGTCTATGCAGACAGACACCTTATCTTGAGAATCACATCACCATCAGAGCACTTGTTTCACCGTTTCCACTAATAGTTCACATGCGTAGACATTTAATACATAAAATCGCACCACTTTTTCATATCAAAATTCACTTCAAACCATTATTTAAACAATAATACAGAAGCAGCAATCCGTTGCCGGTCAAGTTCCCGCCAAAATTCCAATTTGCATGATTTTTTTTTTTGGAGTTTATGGCCTGGTATCTAGACCTTTAGGCCAAGTCTTAAGTATTTTTATTCGGTTTATTGTATTTTCCCCACTCCTTCATAGTATACTGCTTCACAATATGTTGATGCGTCACATTGTGCAGTTCTTGGGAGATTTTGGCGGCAACTTGATCCAGCAGACAGCTGATAGTTGGCGATGGTATCTAAAGGTGCCTATGCAAACAAACAGCTTATCTTGAAAATCCATCACCATCAGAGCACTTGTTTCACTGTTTCCACTAATAGTTCACATGCGTAGACACTTAATACACAAAATCGCAACACTTTTACATATCAAAGTCCACTTCAAACCATTATTTATACAATAATACAGGAGCAGCAAACCGCCGCCGGTCAATTTCCCGCCAAAACTCCCAATTTGCATGATTTGCATCACAATCACAGACTAGCTATCACAGAGCACTTTTATATATACTGAAACTAACTACCAACCAAAGAGTATAGTAACTGTCCTATATACTAACTAGTAGATTCTACCCGAATATTTGCATCACAGAACATATATACCTTTTTATATAACTGGCTTTACGGCTCTGGCTTTTAGCCCTTCTGAGCCTGAAGTTCCAATGTATAATTATCCTTCAAAGTACACTGCATCACAATATGTTGATAGGTCACATTGTGCAGCCCTTAGGAGATTTTGACTAGAATCAAAAACAGCAATGTCCGCTATTGCAAAGTTGCAACATCATTTTATTATTGCGGATAGCTACAATTCACTGGCAATAAAGTTAATATTTGCAAATGGCAGGGGCATAGCATATTCTCATGGGGATTTCTATAGTAATAAGCGGTTTTTGATTCAAAATTAATATTGTAAGACGTCATTTTGTCTACTGAATCAGCAACCATAGATAACATTAATTTTATAAATGATGGATATTGTTGTTTTTAATTCAAGTAGACTCAAATGACAAATGGTTTGGCGGGAACTCCAAACGTGGCGGTCGATTTAATTATTATTACTGTTTTTCGTTAAAATATCCTGTGTAAATATTACCAAAACTTATTTTAGTCAGTGTAAATAATTGTACATTTTGTTAATTATTAAAATGAATGAACCGAAGGACCCAGGTGGAACCCCGAAGCGATCCAAAATTGTTCGTAAGAGGTACGAAGGAATATGGACCTGTAGTAGGCGGCGGTGAGGATGACTTTATTCCATTTTTTAAGCCAGGTTATCTGAGACTTTATCCTGAACATTGTACATATACGGACTTCAAAGTTTTTGTTGAAAGCCAGGACCAACAGGTTAAACTTGGAAATAAAAGCCCAGTTTATTTAAATCATATTTTTACTTCGAAGGTGAAAGGTGTGGTAGCTTTACATAGAGTCAATGCCAACAAAATTGCGGTTGTTTTTAAACAATACAACACTGCAAATAATTTCATCACAAATACAGATTTTTTAACAAAGCACAACTTGAAGGTATATATTCCTGCAGTGCAGATAGAAAAGACTGGAATCATCAGATATGTGCCTACCAACATTTCGAACAAGGATTTATATACAAACTGTCTTCGTCTATGAAATTATTTCAGTGAGGAGATTCACGAAAACAGTCGGTCAAAGTACTGTAGGACTCGAGACTGTCAGTATAACTTTCTTATCAAATGTTCTGCCTGACAACATACAATATGACCTATTTTCGTTCAGGGTCTTTGAATATGTCCCGCCGTTACAGCAGTTGCTTCCGGTGCTTCAAGTTCAACCATCCTACGAAAATTTGGAATGGTATACAACGTTGCTCGATATGTGCTGGGGAGCATAATTTCAGAGACTGCGATAAAAAAGAGAGCCTGTGTTGTGTCAATTGCAGTGGCCCTCACCTGGCCATTTCCAAATCTTGCCCAACAAAAATGAAAAAAATACTTGAAAAAAAGGGTAAAATTACTTATGCCTCTGTGGCTAATACAGTTAAGTCATCTGATTTTCCGTCTTTACCTGTACAGTCCAGCAGCATTGTTAAGACCCTACCATCAATAAGCCGAAATGTACATAAATTAAATAAAAATGTAAAAATTTTAAATAATGTAAATAAAACAGTGCCTGAACCCAACTTGAACAAAACACAACTTAAGGCTCAAATTGCAAACAATAAGAATATTCTGATGGCAATGGTCCAAACTTTAGTTGAATTGGGTTATAAAACAGATAATGAACCTGTGACTACACTGTTCATTAAAGACTTACTTTTAAAAAATCTGTCACATTAATGGATAGTACAGTACAGATTCTGTACTACAGAACATACAGCAGTTATGTATAGCTCAGTACAATATTCAAAGTATACATAGGAAAAAACCCTTATTGTCTAAATTTTAGATGAGCAAAATGTTGATATCGGTCTACTCAATGAAACTTGGCATTTTTTGGAAAAAATGCTTGCTCAAAGATACTCAGCATTTTAAAATTTCGGGATGTAATTCCCACTATCACAACGCCCAAAATGAGCACGGTGGAGTAGCAATTTTGATCAAACTGTATTTTAAATATAATATTATTCAAACCATATGTTACCAAGATATTCAGACTGTGGCATTATCTTGTTATTATATTGTTACTAATTTTTTTTTAATAATTTTGAATTATTAAGTTTTCTTTCCGACAATAACTACTATACTCTGTAAACAGATGGTAGCAAAAGTGAGCTCTTTGTGCGCATTGCTGTTTATGATCCCCAATCCAAGTTTGGTCAAAGTTTTCTTCTGGACCCTAGATTCAGTGTTTTCACTGCAGAGGTATATGCGGCCCTCGAGGCCCTGAAGAGGATCGCACGTATAAATAATTTTAATAATTTTTTAATTTTAACAAACAGTTTAAGTATGGTCCAAAGTTTAACCAATCTCAGATTTGACTTTTAAAAAAAACTATATTTTGTATAATATTAATAAAAAATTATTTAGTTATGCACAAAAGGGTATACAGGTCTCTTTCATGTGGATTCCTTCACATCAACAGGAAATGAGATAGTAGATAATTTGCACGTGATGTAACCAACATGTTGGATGTTAGCACCATAGTAAAAGTACCTTTGACCGACTGTTATCAATTTATTGACAACCAGATCAATAGTTTATGGGTCGAATTTTGGAAACAAGACCGAGAACAGCAGGGTAAACAGTATGGAAATGTTCAAGAAAACCTACCTGTAGCACCATGGTATAACAAACTGAAAATGGCCAGTCGGGACTTTATTACGACTATAAACAGATTACATTTTGGTCACTCCACCGTTCCGGCCCACCTGGCTCGGTTGGACATAGTGGAGAGCAGCTACTGCACCTTCTGCAATAATTCTGTTGGTGATATCGAACATTTCATATTTATATGTGAGTGCTTTTCATTTGACAGATTGATTCTTGTCAGTGAAATTAGTGACATAGTGCAAAATCAAGTGACAGTGCAAGATCCCTCCCGATTCATCAAAAATACAGTGGGGAAATTATAATAAACCGAATAAAAATACTCAAGACTTGGCCTAAAGGTCTAGATACCAGGCCATGAGCTCCAAATAAAAATATGCAAATGACATAGACAAAGATGGACAAAGAGAAGAGCTGCAATAAAAAATTGTAATTTCCAATAAATTTTTTGTTTATCGTGGTGTTTGAAAAGCTATTAATATTTTCCGCACTTAATTATTTGTTTATATATTTCTTATTTATAAATAATGCCCAAAAACAAGATTGTTGTGAAACCAAAAGACTGTGATACTGACAATCCAGACGATTTATTGTCTCCCTGTTTTCAAATTAACTCTAACGTAGAACTTAAGGATATTCCAACTACAGGTGAAGAATATTTATTAAAAGTTATAAAAGAACGCGAAAATTATTCACAAGTGACGAAGTGTGACAAAGATTATTCAAAATTCGCTAAAAATCAGTCTTGTTTTGTGAATGAGGTAATATTAATTTAGACTTACTTTTGAAGATTATTGTAGTTATTTAGTTGTATACTTGTATTTATAATTTGCTTTATTTTCAGCTTCCACTAGCAAAAGTTCCCGATAATCTCAAACCAACTATAGAATGGCAAAATATACAAGTTGCTGATTTTTCAGATGTTCGATTGTATATATCTCGTTTATTAGCAAATAAATCACATTGGCCAAATTGCATAAAAGTTGTAGAAATTGATCAAGATAATTTAATAGGATGGAGGAAATTCTTTGAAATAAATGAACCAACACTATCTTGTGTTCTTGGATTACGCTATACTTTACTAGATCGTGCTTTAGAAGTTCTTACTGACATTATAGATGATGTGGAACCAGGAAAAACAATAGACTATAAAACAGGTAGTGCACTGCTAGCCAATCATGAATCTGTGCTTTATTTGTGTCCAGTTCTTGCTATACTTGTTTTATACCTGTTGTGTTTTAACTTTAGTTTTATATAAAGTTTTGTTAAAAAAAGAACCATGATAGTTCAGGGGTTAAGCATTTGCTGTAAATTTCATTTAATGCAAGGAACCGAGATTCAATCCCCATTGTCACAATGAATTTGTTACTTGTGATTTAAATGCTGAATTACTGGAGGCAACAATAAGAAGAAACCTGCATGTTTGGGGAATAAATTATTTTAAAGACCTTTCAAGGCCATGAACATGCAAATGGAGCAGTGAGGTGGATGAATTGCTCCATAATTCTCTCAGAAGTAAAAGGTGGGCTGAACCCAGCAATGGGTACACATATATATAGACTGTACCTACATAAACTTTAATTGGCTTAGCTTTCCATTGACGTCAGTGGAGTTTGGTGTTGATACGTATTTTTACAGAAAGATTACACTATTATAAGCACACACACAAAGTCTCAATACACGGAAACGCGTAATTTTTGAGAAAAGAATAATTGAAAATCAATTATTCTTGCAATGTTTATGTCTAATCTTCTAATAATCTGGCGCCATTTTGTAATGTCATTGTCGACCTCAATAGGGATGTCGATTCTTTCCGAAAAAGGTCGATTTTTAAATCTATTCAAATCGTAAGCTGATGTATCGGTTCACAAAAAATCGATTTCTAAAATATCTATATTTTTTTAATGTTTCTATTTATAATGTAAATATAAACCCATTTTATGAAAAACAAGAAAGATACCATGATAAATGATCTCTTATTGAAATTTGTTTTATTTAACAGTACCTATTAGGGCAGATAACAAATAAAATAGGTTAGGTTCAACTTATGCCAAAGAACCGAATTGATTGACCCCGACTCCACCTGGTACGAGTCTGTCCTACCCCTAGAGTGGTTTTATAGAGCCGGAGGCGCGTAGGGGGAGCAGCCTCCGCCTGCTGTAACAAATCGTAGGCATCGGACGAGGAGGGATGCCTGTGATTTGTTACGCTAAGGCGTAGAGGTTGCTTTTCCCGCAGCGCCGGAGACGTAGCAGTCTCAAAATAGATACAGAAATCCTTATGAATCAGTCCCCTTGTTTTTTTATGATGAAGGGGATTTTTTTCTCATAAAATGGATTTATATTTACATTATAAATGCAAACATGAAAAAAATATCGATATTTTAGAAATCGATTTTTTGGGAATCGATACATCAGCTTACAATTCGAATCTATTTAAAAAATCGATCTTTTTCGGAAAGAATCGACATCCCTATTGACGTCGACAATGACATTACAAAATGGCGCCAGTTTATTAGCAGATTAGACATAAACATTGCAAGAATAATTGATTTTCAATTATTCTTTTCTCAAAAATTACGCGTTTCCGTATATTGAGACTTTGTGTGTGTGCTTATAATAGTGTAATCTTTCTGTAAAAATACATATCAACACCAAACTCCACTGACGTCAATGGAAAGTCGTGCCCTTTAATTTAAAGATTTGGTTCAATATTTATTTTTGTTTCCATTGACAAAATACTGCTCATTATGTTAATAAGATGTGAAGTTACATTCTAGATATAATACTTTCAGTGGCACCATAGGGATCTTCTTGGGTTTTTCTTGCATACTTGCATACATTCCCATATGTTATTTTAACTTTCATAATAACAACCAATATTATTTTTTCTGAACCTTCTCTGCGAATTTAGCCGGTTATTGCAAAATAACCCTGTATATTTTATAAAAAAAATACTAAATAAGAGGGCTGAGAACCAATCCCTGTAGTCCGTTCTAAATGAGGAAGGACAAAGAGAACCAGATAAGTGTGAACAAATACTGACATACAGACAAAATGTTCTGTTTACAATTATTATTGTATTATGTATAGTTAAATATTGTGAATAAAGCTATAATACATAAATATGTTTAGATATATATTTGATTTCTTATCTTATTTTATTTATGAAAGTTTGACTGTCAATTTATACGTTTTCAATACTAATGGCATTATGGTTTAATTTTAGGTCAATGGATTTATGCTTTTCTTGCTTGCACAAGGCAGCCTCTTCTGTCAGACACTACAAGTATATTAAGAAATTTAGCTAGAAAATGTGCAGAAATCAGGTAATTTATTTTTACCGTCATTACCAAAAGTATTCTTAATTGCAAGATTGATTGCATGCTACATGGACTCCCGGAAAACATGATGATCACATGAGGAAAAACGGGAGAAAGGTCATGGTGGTCTACCCAATTTGATTCTTATACTGATTTTCGTCGCTCCTTCATAGGGAAAAAAAAAATACTTATAAAAACCTGCGTAAAGGAACATGAGCTGACTCTAATCACATGCCAATGCTCCGGGATGTGTTCAGTCTGTAATTATATTTAGACCGTCTATGGCCCATACAGTGGCATAGCTACCCAGGGGCTAGCCGGGGCAGTGCCCCGGGGCCTCCAAGCTAAAGGGGCCCCACGGCCTCCAAGAACGAAATTCGAAAAATTATGTACTAACCTAGTTGTGTAAAGAATTTTCGAGTTTTAACTTTTTGGCCTCTCACAGAATACCAGCGTGAAGTAACAGCTCAATGCTGCTGTTTCGTATGGTGAGTGTAGAGAACCGGAGACCCATTTTATTGGAAAAGAGGCATTCTATCTTAGTCCTCACGGCTGACAATGCATCTGCATTTTAATTCACAAAAAGAAGATAGATGTATATGTCTTTGGGCCACAGCAACCACTTACCATTAGGTAGACTATGTGCTCGTTTGTCATCTTCTATAAGAACTAAAAAACTTTTCGGCCGCTGACCGCGAATGGCTCGAATTGAAATCACAAAAATTACTCCCACTTCCAGAACATAAGTAGAACATTGTCTACTTCGTCTTATTATCTTTTTTATATAGAAGGGAGGGGCAAATGAGTATGTGGCTCACCTGATGGCAAATGTCGACCATCGCCTATTAACAAATATAGCACCAGGGAAATTGCGGGCGCGTTGCCCGCTTTTTAAATAGGAGTAAGCTCGTTTCTTGAAGCTCGCTAAGTTGTATTGGTTCAACAGTAATAGACCGCCAAACATCCCGATGATGTGGATTTGTGAAATGCGTTGATTAAATTTTGTGGCTGGAATTAATCCAAACAATTCCTATGAACACTACCCGTGGTAAATGCGATAGTCGTCTCCTCTTTCGTTTGCGTCGGTCGTCGACAATTCAAGCCGCTTTACGCTGGATGCGGTCAAGTAGAAGGAGCTGGTACTAGGGAGCCAGCCCAGGGATGACAACAATATTTAAGCTTAGGCCGAACCTGCCCCTTGTAAAGTTGCAAGCAGTGTGCCGGCATAAAATACTGTCCCGCTCTGCTGAGCACGCCAAGCTTTTTAGTGGCCAATTCAGCCTTCCCTTCCAAGTGACTACGAAACTGCACGTTATTCGTTATGTCAACGCCGAAGATTCCGATACTGGCTGAGGTAACAAGGGGAGTGCCCTGAAATTGAGGAGTTGCGACAAGGGGGTTCTTTTTAGTGGTAAACGCGCAAACTTGTGTCTTCTGGGCATTGAACTTAATTAGATTTAGTCGCCCCAATCCAAAACCTTATCCTGCAAAGACTCTACTACAGACACAAGTTTGTTCCGGTACTCGGCGACGTTTTCCCGAGAAATATAGGCACAGCCGGTGCACGTTACTGTTTGGAACATATTATTGATAAGCAGAAGAAACACCGTAGCTGATAGTACGTAGCCTTGTGAAATACCAGCATAAATAGGCTTGTAAATGGAACATGCACCATCTACTACGACTTAGTTGCTCCAATCTGCAAGAAAACTGCTGATCCAGTTGCAAATTTTCGTGAAGCCCATAGAAAGGGAGATTCGAAAGAAGCGCTTTGTGCCGATCGACCCGACCGAAGGCCTTCGCTATGTCCATATTAATTGCCTGGGTCTCCCTCTGCCTCAGTCAGGTAACCCAATGATCACCAGCTGAGCAATCCTGACGAAAATCGTACTGGCGGTCACTTTTCAGTTGGTAATCTTCAATCTCATGAGCTGAGCACAATGGATTTCATTATTTTATGAACAAGTTGATTAGTTCTGAGCGGTCGATTTTCGATTAATTTTTAGGGATCTGATGCACTAAAACTATCTTTTTTGAGTTCGGGACTACGCCTATGTAGAAAGAGTTTTAGAAGACACGTTACAACCGTTGCCAACTAGGGAGCACACGTCTTCAGCACAATGGGAGGAACTCCATCAGGCCCATTAGACTTGACGTCTAGGGAGAGTAGTGCTATTCGCACCGAGCGCTGTGTAAACCGTATCGAACTTTAAAACTACTGAGGCGTCGAGAACAGATGTCCTCTCTGACGTATACGCAAACTCCAGCCTGAGGCACAAAGGTGTTATAATTTGTACTCCGGATAGGAGAGAAGTATCGACCGGAGAGGACACCTGCGCCTCGGTTGTAAATAACAATGTCACCTTTGTCTTATTGCTCTACTTGCCATGAGCAGTATTAGTCTTAATCGGAATTTCGCCCCCCCCCCCACCTCATCGCTCTAAGGAAAAGTTTTAGCGTCCATGATCAGCCAAGGATCTCCAATACCAGGGGTGCTGGTACCCTCCTGGGATGGTTCCTTATTTAATTACACTACCATGTTAAGGTTACCATATTAACTGTAATCTACTTCGTCATTGTTTATGCGTTACACATAATACTTAGTAATAAGTAAGTAGCTTTGCTTTATTATTCCCTGCAGTGGGCTACAAGATGATGATGAAGTAGTTTTGCACCTTTAAAGTATTTAGTTTAGTTTCAATAGGGCCCCAATTTCATTTTTGCCCCGGGGCCCTTGGTTACATAGCTACGCCACTGGGCCTATGGTCCTTTAAAGATTTTCAATAGTTGATGTAGGTCATCCAAAATTAAAAATGATTTGAAAATAAAATTCATTTATGTAAGTCATCATAAAATAAAATGAAAATTTTATTACAGGTCACACCTAAACCCAGAGGCAGAAAATATAAAAGAAGCAGTTGCTCCATTAAATATTTTTATATGTTTGGTGTCGCGATATTTCAGACAATACGATTTAGCTGATTAAATAATTAAAAACTATCATTATGCAAAACGATCATTAATTAAAATATTATATGTATATTTAATGCATTGTTGCAATTTTTTTAAATACCGAATTTTTTTAAACTTTTCAATGGGGTCACGCGGCGTCGCTGTGCGCTTGTTGGATATCACGTGACTTGCGGGGGCGCTTGGGGTAACGAGGTATGAGGGTCGACGGGGCGGTGGCTCTCTTCGCCGTCCGTCACACGTATATAGGCTGGAACTTACACTTAATTTAAGACTTTAACAGTGGTAGAGCCACGCGGCAGCTTTTGCTGTCGCACGGATGGGCCGGCTCGAACCGGGGTAGTACCACGACCTCACAGAAAACCAGCGTGAAGTAGAGGTTTACATCTGCGTTTCGCTTGGTGAGTGCAGGTGGCCGGAGGCCCTTTTTACTGGAAATGAGGCATTCCATCTTAGTCCTCACGGGTGACAACGCATCTACATTTTGATTTGTAACAGAGGATAGATGTAGATGTCCATGGGCCGCAGCAACCACTTACCATCAGGTGGACTGTGTGCTCGTTAGTCACCCTTATCCTATAAAAAAAATTTACAAAAAGTAAAATGTTTTCATTTTCATTCATTTCACGTTGGTCATGTTACTTGATTATAGCTAACTTTCTACGTGGTAGAGCCATGGTGCAGCTATATTATAGTTGTACCACAAATGGGTTGGCTCAACCGGAGTAGGACCACGCTCTGACAGAATACCAGCGTAAAATAGCTTAATATTGCAGTGTTTCGTATGGTGAGGATAGAGAAACGGGATGCTTTTTACTGGAAACGAGACATTCCATCTTAGTCCTCAGGGTGATATGTTAGCGAATACAGCGTATTTTCAAGCATTCCGAAAGCGCTACGTCCGGATGTTTGTTTTAACTTCATTTTAAATTGTTTTATGCCACGATTCGAATTAATCTGTAATCCTTTGAGGCTCTCCTTTTATTTTAGCATTTAACTTTCAAACAAGATGTATATATTTTTATACGTACTGTGACGGCGCTGTTAAGTGTAATTCACCAAAGCCTAAATCGCGCTATAAAAGTTCTGAAGTTGTGAAGAAGTGAACAGCTCCGAAATAACACATGAAGCGTTGCCCGCTCCACGAGCAGATTACCTTGCCCGGCGGGAGATCTCCCATTTTCCTTCCACGGCCAAAGTACCTATACCGTAAAACCTTACAAATTAGGCCTTGGCTTACAACTTTAGACAAATGCAAAAACTAACTAAAACTGCATCTGGTTGCTATTTCAAAGAAAATAGCAATATTTTGTGATTTTAAAGGTAAACTAAAATTCAATATAAACACTAACTGTAGACCATTAAAAAGTGTAGTAAACAATGTTTTATTTTTTTATTATAGGTATTACAATTGTATCGAGAATTTTATTTAACGTATTACATTACAAGTTAGATCGATCGACGTTAGATCAATAAAAAATAGCCGGAGACGTTTCGGCAGTCGACTATATCAAAATTACACTCAAGATATGTTAAACCTTGCCAAACAATATGTAAAAGATAAAACAATGTCTTCAAGGGAAGCCGCACGGCATTTCGGAATTCCAAGAGCTACTATCCTATACAAATTAAAGGGAAAGCACCAAAAAAGTGTGGGATGTCCCACGCACCTTAGTGACGAAGAGGAGCACAAGATTGTCAAAGTAATAATTGCAGCTAGTGATTTCGGATGCCCTTTGACAAAGCTGCATTTAAGGCTGATAGTATATGATTATTTACAAAAAAATGGCAGAGAAAGTGTCTTTGATGCTAAACTCCCAGGAAAACAACGGGTTTCAAGTTTAATCTAGCGGCACGTGGAAAAACTGAGTACGAGGCATGGCCAAAATATAAAAAAAGCAAGAGCTGTAAAAACTGCAACGGAATTTTTAGAATACTTTCAAAATTTAGAAGAACACCTGAAAGACATTCCTCCCTCGCCCATCTTAAATCTTGACTAAACAAATTTAAGCGACGACCCAGGCTCGTCGAAGAACTTGTTTCGCAGAGGGGTAAAGTACGCAGAACGGGTTACGAATTCTACAAAGGGAGCAATTTCTTTAATGTTTTCCGGCACAGCAGACGGAGTAAGTATGCCTATATACGTAGTTTATAAATCGGAAAAACTTTATTCGGAATGGATTACAGGTGGCCCTAGAGGCACCAGATATAATCGAACAAATTCTGGGTGGTTCGACTCGGCAACCTTCGAAGATTATTTTAAAACGGTAGTCCTAAAATGGGCAGATGGTTTAACCGGAAAAAAATTTGTTATATGTGACAACTTATCAAGTCACCTGAATGTTGATGTCATCGAATTGTGTGAGCAACAATATATAATTTATTTTTATACCCGCCATCTCCACACCTAACGCAGCCCCTTGATGTGGCGTTCTTTGGTCCCCTTAAAAAGACGTGGCGTAAAATTTTTTTACAGTATAAGATGGAAAACCCAAACCAGAGTACATTAAATAAAAATCACTTCCCTAAATTGCTTATGTCTTTAATGGAAGCAATAGAGCTGACTGAGTCCACTTACATTAGGAGTGGATTTAAAGCTACCGGAATTTATCCTCTCTGTCCGCGTGAAGTACTAAAACGGCTTCCGGAATATGGCGATGATATAGGAAACCAAGAAAACGAAAACCATACAATCGATATAGTTTTACTAGAGTATTTACAAAAATTGAGACAACCAGAACCACAGTCTATAAAACGGAACAAGAAAGTTATGATTCAACCTGGAAAATCTGTGTCTGTTCAAAACTTCTTAAGCGGGGCTAATAAAACAACAAACCAGCAAACAATGAAAGAGAGACTCAAGAATGTCGTAAAAACAAAGCAATAGGAGCAAAAAAATCTAAAACTTTAAAAACTTTCACAAAAGACCAAAATACTGATGGCCTTAATCTGAATACTAGTATAAATGATATTTTAGAAAATGAATCTGCCATTACATGTACCCTAGATACTGATAATACTGACTCACATGCTGAAGAATTAAATTTTATAGATAATGAGTTTTCAAATGAAGAAAATGTTCTAGTATGGGACAAACAAGGGCATGAGACTTTTGACTGTATTGAAATGTCGGGATCTGACTCAATATCAATATTGAGTCAGAGAATGCATATGACAGCCCACAAGAAAGCATTTTAGACGAAAACACTGGAATTTTTCGGACATATATAGATATTGATCCAAATGAACATGTGGCTAAAAATAATATAAATCAGATATTGCAGAAAGCAATCACACTTGAAACCTGTGACAAAGTAACTTCAGCCCAAACTTTGATAAATGAAACATTAAAAGTAACCCAAAAAAATAAACCAAAGATTTTATCTGACATTGTGATTCGTCCTGCCGATGAAACCAATACACTTCTCCAGACAACACTGTATGATAAATGTAAATCTAGTATGATCAAAGAAAACATAAAATTAAAGATAGACGAACAAATAAACAGGAAAAAATCAAAGAATAAAGGAATAAAAAATAATAAAAAACGACATATCTCATTCTTTCAGTGGTAGAGCAACGCGGCAGATTTTGCTGTCGCACGGATGGGCTGGCTCGAACCGGGGTGGTACCACGACCTCACAGAAAACCAGCGTGAAGTAGAAGTTTACCTCTGCGTTTCGCTTGGTTAGTGCAGGTGGCCGGAGGCCCTTTTTACTGGAAATGAGGCATTCCATCTTAGTCCTCAGGGGTGACAATGCATCTGCATTTTGATTTGTAATAGAGGATAGATGTAGATGTCTATGGGCCGCAGCAACCACTGACCATCAGGTGGACTGTGTGCTCCTTTGTCACCCTTATCCTATAAAAAAAAAATGTAAATATTACAATAGAAACCATAAAACAGGCATATAAAGTAAAACAAAATATTTTGTCGGTGAATGTGTTACATCGTGTTGATGAAAAGCAAGAACATTTCAAGATAGCACACGAAAAATCTAGTACGGGCAAAGAAAATATTGTATCGAATATAAGTAAGAGAACACACAATCAACCAATGAAAAATAGAATTACAAAGGAGTGACCAGTTCAGCGGCCATCCAAAAGAAGACATAGTGAGACAAGTAACAGTGACGTGAATATTAGTTCACATACATTCACATAGCGATTCCGATATTTGTGATATATACTCTGAAAGGGAATCGAACCCATCTGATTACGACAAGAAAATCTCAAATTCAGTAAGGTATAAAACATGCTCATTCCCGTCGAAGACCACGTCCTGAGTGTGTGCTCAAGATAAGGACAAATTATTGTCATCGTTCAACCAAAATTCAAAAGCAAAAGCCTCTACAAGTTATGATAACAATATCAGTGAACATCTACTGATTAATTATTATAGTGTGGACGACTACATAATACTAAGATACTTTTTTAAAAAAAAAACAAGTAGTTTTTTGTTGGAACGGTAACAGAAAAGGTAGAAAACGAGAAAATAAAAGATACATTCTTTAAAAAATTTGGGAAGGATGATAATTAAGTTTGTTAAGCCTAAAATAGAAGAAATAAATTCAAATAAAGAAGAATTAAAAAAATTGATTGCACGAATGTTGTCAAGACAGTACTTGCAATTAATACACAAGAAACTGAATTTGTTTTTATAGACGAGATTGATTGTATTTACTTTGATTAATAGAAAGCATTCGTTAATTTTTCTTAAGTTAAATAGTTTAACTAAACTTTTTTCAATTTATTACAATATACATAAAGGAAAAAAACAGTTTCTTTGTAATACATAGCTAAGGACGATGATAAAGACGAGGTTGATTTTTTTTATATTGTGGTAGATACTTACGTACACAAATACGAGAATGTTAAAAAAGTTCCCACCTACATTGTATAATATTTCTTTATTGATTGTAATACCTACATTATCATTATATTCAATATTGATTGTAATGGATACATAATACCTACCGTTGTTAACAAAATAGTCCACGTTAGTAATTTTGAAAG